GAACAAATTGCACTAAGACTAATAACACGAATAAGACACCCCCAAAACCCCCTGCACAACCCTTCCAACCAACTACTATACGAACGCACAAACATGACCTAAATTTCGGAAAGACTAATACACTTACAGACAAAATGGACAAACAACCCTCACAACTGGACCATACTGAATCCCCTTTGCCTAACAAGACGGACAGAACATTCCCGTTTTCGTACCCCAATAGATACTTTACTAGAACACCTACAAACGCAACTGAACTAACGACTAAGACCTGTTTGTTTTGTGGGCCGGGAATTTTTTTTCTTGTCGATAGCCCTTGTCAATAATAACAATAATTTGTCAAACTGTGACTTACTTTGAATTTCCTTTTACGAATTTGCGGATATGCGATTAGTTCAGGGGAAATGTTACAGTAACAACAAAGGGCGAGGAGAGATTAGATAGATTTTACATATTTGCCATCCATTTTTGCACTAATGCAATGACTAAGTCCCATTTTTACGTACATTGAGTTAGCAACACTAGCCGCGCAAGAACCCGGCATCTACCTATTACTGTTAAGATTTTATACGTGTTAATTGGGGTGCATTCTAGTGTACTGTGCAAGAACAAGATAAGTTCTGCACTTGGCAGGTTCTTGCATTACACTGAATGTTCAGGTGGTAGGTTCCGTCGCATGTTCGTGAGCGTTTTGCGTTATTTTTGTTGGTTTTAGTGTTTTCTTTCGTTCAGTTTAGTTTTTATAAATTACTTATACATTTATTATATTTTTAAACTGTAAAATTTACTTACAAATATTTTAAATAACAAAATGTCGCATATTATTGTGCCAAAAGAGCAATTTGGGAACCATATTAAAATGTAGTGAGTCTGTTGGGTAGCTGATATTTCAAGAGTTTAATAAAAAAATTAGAAAGCTGTACAATCAGTGTCGCTTTCAAGCAAAGTTATATAATGGAAGAAGGCTACTTAAGAATAACAAATTGGTTGAGTTTAGCAAAAAACTATGTTTCGACTCAGTAGTGTTGGATTTATAACTATATCCCAGAAAAGAACAAAGATAAACTGCAAAAACTGTGCAAGAATCAACTAAATCCATTTTTTTTCAAAATTTCGAACATATATTGTTCAAATATATTGGTCGGTTATTGCATTGGACTTTTCAATTTCAATAAAGTAGAAGCAGAATAATGGGACAGCTTATATCAAAGAACTCTACAATAAGGGGAATAACAAACAAGCGATAGACAACGAACAAATCATAGAAATTACAAGCAAATAACTCAGGAATACGGCCCGAAAATTAAAAAACAGAAAAGCCCTAGGATCCGATGGCTGCCTAATGAGCTTCTAAAATATGGAGGAGTATTAATAATTAGTAGATCTGAATGATGTTTATATTTATTGGACTTGCTCTTAGTTGTAAGAGTAGCATCCTGTCGTTGTAGGGTATAAAATTTTTGACTGATAGGTTGATTTTGTTTGCGGTTGCTATTTCTACTTCGTTTCTAGAGTAATAAACTATGTGTTCCTGGATTTGGCATGAGCCTGTATTTGTGTGTTTCGCACATTCTCATGATTTTAACGTCTAATCTTATCGCCTACATACTGGCATTTATACCACTAAAACATATACACTATATCTATATATAATTCGGATTATGTGTCTAGCATAACTGCTCCGTTTGGCCATGGCCTGATCGTTGACACAACTTGAGCAATAAACATGAATATGCGGACAATTCTGCATTTGTTCATCTTGGTCTCAACACGAGGACTACGCGTGTACCGATAGAGCAACCATTTCACTAGAATGCCTTTATTTTTTACTTTGACAATGAACTTTTGACATATTTTTTTATTGGAATGAATCTAAAAGTTCCATTTTTCGATCAGAAGCGATGATAAAAAAAGCACTTTTCTTTACTGTTCATTTGTTTTACTTTTACGCACGGAATTTTACGCACACATGCGTAAAAGTAAATGTGACAAATTGAACGTGTCACTGTTATAAAACATTTCAAAGTATTTTCATTAAAAAGTAACGGATATGTTTTTTAAATAAATTACGTAGGTGTATAGAGAACTATTGATCATAATTTAAAATTTACTTACAATTTGTAAATTATAACTTTTTTACAAGTTGAGTCTCAAAGTCGTTCAAATTGTCTATTTTTCTGCGCTGGCCGATGTTGCCACAAGCAAAACACGAGTTTTTTAAAGAGCGCAAATTTTCTGCAAAATATGCATCTTATGCAAACACCATACCGTGAAAACAGCATTTTCAACACTCATTGTTTCACTTGTATATGCTTACAAAAGTAGGCTTTTGAAAAATTCGAACATGACGATTTCAAAAATGGCATTGACCTCAAATTTTAAATATGAAGTTGACGGATTTTATTATTGGCTATTTTTATTTATTATAACTTATTATTTTTCACTTTATTCGAATAAAATATATTGTTCGATACGAGAGCGAAAATCCGTTTTTCGAACTCCTGACCGATTGACACCCTCGACTTCGTGTCGGGTGTCAAACGCTGTCGTCGTTCGAAAAACGACACTTTCCGCCTTGTATCGAAAACTACTATTAGCTCTCTGAGATGGAAATGCACAAACCATGTAATCGTAAAACATAATTTTAGATTAATTTCTGTTATATTTGACAGAAAGTAGTTAACTGAACCCATTATAATAGTCGTCCAATGTAAAGTTTATGCGAATGTTGCTAGTTTTCTATAGAACTTATATGTTCAGCGATATTAAGACGTGGCTTAACTATAGGTACTGA